TGCATCCGGAGGCTCCAGCTGGTCCAGAATGCGGCCGCGCGGGGGATTTTGGGGGCGACGAGGCGCTCCCACGTGACACCTCTCCTGCGCGAGCTGCACTGGCTCCCGGTGGTCTTCCGGGTGCGCTTCAAGGTGTTGGTGACCACCTTTAAAGCGCTCCATGGCTTAGGGCCGGGGTACTTACGAGACCGCCTTCTGCCACCAATAGCCTCCCACCGGCCAGTACGCTCCCACAGAGTGGGCCTCCTCAGGGTGCCGTCCGCCAGACAATGTCGGCTGGCGACCCCCAGGGGGAGAGCCTTCTCTGTGGCGGCACCCGCCCTCTGGAACAACCTCCCCCCAGAGCTACGTACAATAACAGACCTCCGGATTTTTCGTCGGGCCCTGAAAACCCATTTATTCCAACTAGCTGGGCTGGCTTGAGTCAAATTTTAAATGGATTTTAAATTGGAATGTTTTAATTACGGCCAAAATTATTTAATTATTTTAAACAGTTTTTTAGATTTTGTATGTTTGTATGTATGTCTTGTTTTTACTTTGGCTGTTCACCGCCCTGAGTCCTACATTGGAGAAGGGCGGTATAGAAATTTAAACAAATAAATAAAATAAATAAATATAAAATTCAGTTGTTGTAGTTGGATTTTCTGACATTTACTCAGTTGCCTCTTACATTAACGGCATGGTCTGTCCTTACTTACAAAGCATCAAAGGGATCTCATTGTTGAAAATTATCAGTCAGAAGACGGATAGAAAAAAAAATCCAGGGCATTGGATATACTATGGAACACAGTGAAGACAGTCAGCTACAAGTTGAGAAAAATATGACAGGAGTAATATTATCAAGAATTGCATGTCCCTCTAAAATTGATGAAAAAACAAGAAAAAAAAACTAGCCCAAGAGGCTTTTAATGGTCTACAACAATATTAAAGAAGCTGCAGGAATTTCTGGAAAGTACTGGTTGTGTACTACACATGACAATAATCTCCCATATTCTTTATACTGTATATCTGGGCTGTGGGGTAGGTTGGCAAGATGGAAGTCTTTTCTTACAAAGAAAAACATAGAAGCCTGACTATAGTTTCCAAAACCTACATCAAGTCTTGACAAAAGCATTTGGAAAAATGTGTTATGGTCCGATGAGACCAAGGTTGGACTTTTGGGGCATAATTCCCAAAAATATGTTTGGTACAAAATCAACACTGTTGATCGCCAAAAGTACTCCGTACCCTTTGTAACATTGTAGTGGCAGTGTTATACTTTTTGGCTGCTTTTCTGCAATTTAGTCAAGATAGAGGGAATTATGAACATTTCCAAATGTCAGTCACGTTTTGCACAAAATGTTCAGGCCTCTGCTAAAATGCTGAAGATAAAGAGGAATTTGACCTTTCAACATGACACAGCATATCTCAAAATCAACAAACAATGGCTTTAGAAGATCGAAGTTCTGGAATGGTCCAGTCAGGGCCCAAACCTGAATCCAATTGAAAATCTGTGAGATGACCTGAAGAGGGTTGTGCACAGGAGATGTCCTTGCAATTTTACAGATTTTGCAAGGAAGAGTGGTCAAAGATTCCGAAGCTGATTGGCTCTTACCAAAGAGACTGAATGCTGTCATAAAATCAAAAGGTATTTCAATGAAATATTAATTTATGGGTGTGCACACTTATGTAACCACTGTCAAGCTTCAAAAGACATCTTGCTGTTGCCACTATTATTGCATCTCAGCTTGCCAACAAGGGCAGAGGGAGCGGGAGATAGATCACGGCCAGACATCAAGATGTTGGCATTAGAACCAAGGACATTTCGGCAGGTATTTACAAAAGCCAGAAAGACTTTCCCACAACAATATCCAGAGACTGTATTGAGCAATATGACCTGAGCTAATTGGGAGGGTGGAGTGGAAGAATGTGAACTTTAACTATGGGGATTAGCACAGAAAGATCTATATCTGGTTTTGCCTTCAAAAGTGCTGAAGTGATGTATTCAATAAAGGCTTTGCATGAAGAGTATTGGATCATCTCGGTGGTGCTTGCTTTGGTTGGATTCATCAGTCGGAACCTTGACAACCATATTACTGTAAGTTTTTTATTTTTACATTTCATCCCTGAAAGATTTCAGTTTATTTCCCATTGAATTGTACACCTTATGTTATATTAAAAGTAGGGAAAAATCTTAAGTGCTTTATCTTGGTCTGGTGTTTTTTTTTTACATCCCAAAATTTTGATATTTTTATATCCACTATATGAATGGTGTGGGTGTGGGTGTGGGTGCATGTAAATGTGTAAAAGAGTGGGGACCCATTCTGTAATGTAACCTTATTCCATAATGTTCATTAGCTCCCAATTTGCCCTTGGGCTAAAATAAGTTATCTATCCTTGCTACAGGGCTTAACATATAAGGAGTTTGGCCAAATTTTGTCTCCACAAGTCAGATATTAATATTTATTTATTTATTTGTCATATTTCTATACTGCTCAGAATGTTCATCACCAGACACTCTACAATATTAGCACATTTTATGATTCTAAATGTACAGGTAGTCCTTGATTTAAAATTACAATTGAGCCCAAAATTTCTGTTGCTAAGTAAGACAGTTATTAAGTGAACTTTGCCCCATTTTATGACCTTTCTTGCCACAGTCGTTAAGTGAATCCTTGCAGTTGTTAAATTAGTAACGCCATTGTTATATGACTATGGCTTCCCCATTAACTTGTCAGAAGGTCGAAAAAGGTGATCACATGACATCAGGAAACTGCAACCATCATGAATCAATTGCCAAGCGACTGAATTTTGATCAAGTGACTATGGGGATGCTACAATGATTGTGTGAAAAATAGGCATAAGTCACTTTTTCCAGTGGCATTGTAACTTCAAATGGCCACTAAAGGAACTATTGTAAGTTGAGGACTACCTGTACAATATATGCTTGAACTCCTACCATTAATGCCTCTAGGTATTTTTATGCTCCCACCTACATCTATTCATCTCTTTCTCTCTTTATTCCTCCACCAACATCATTTACAAGAGTATAAATCCCAATGGGATGCAATCACTTGCAGTTATTATATCTTATAATCCACAGACTTACAGTCCTGTACAATTTTTATTGCTAGCTGTGGAATGGCCAATTTTGTATTCCCAAATTACAACATTTCTATATGTACTAAGTACTAAGAAAGCCAACTTCATTTTTTATCATTAGATTTTGTTTATTGGTTGTAATCATTTAAAAAATAATTTAAAAGCATTTTCCCAGTATGTATGTATGTATGTATGTATGTATGTATGTATGTATGTATGTACGTACTGCGGCATAAATACTGACTGCTTGAAAATAGTTGCCTAGAAATCAGTAATGATGCTTGATATACCTTGCTATGTACACATCTGTTAAATCACCATACTGACACTGACCCATAGAAACGAGCTTGTGCACGGTATTTCACCACAAGATCGGATCTACGGGTTTATGTCAATTGGCACGCATGGAAATAAATTTGAAAAAACAATTACTAAGCATTTATGAGGCAAAGCAAATCTCAAATTCATATTTGAAAAAATGATACAAATCATAATAAGATGGTTACAATCATGCATGTTTTAAATATTGAAAAAGTACTCAAAAAGTATATTTATCTAACAGATCTATGACAAAATCATTTGCAGAAATTTAAGAATAAAGTTTGGCTAGTAAAATACTGATACAGTAGTTCCTCGGTACTCGACTGCTCCAAAATGTGGTACTCAATGCATTTTGGTGCAAAAATGTTATCCTGGAACTCATTGTTTGTTTGGTACTTGATGTACTGCGATAGGAAAAATGGGATGGCCAAAGGGAACAGACAAGAAGTCAGCCCTGCCAGGAAGGTCACTGAAAAAAGAAGAAGGAGGCAGCCGCAGAAGGTGAACAGGAAGTTCCCCATGCTGGAAAGGTCACTGACATAGGAAACGGGACAGACAGGAAGCTCTTCCCAACCAGAACAAAGAGCCATGTGGTAAGTCACATGGTTTGTTTGATACTCGTTTTAGTGCTTATTGCTCCTCTCAAAACCAATTAATGACGAATACTGAGGTACCACTGTAGCTCACATTTCATAATTCAAAAATAAAAATGTGATGCAAATTTACCAGTAAGAATGAAAAATCAAACTCTCAATCCAAAAAAAGCATTTATGCAAACAAATATCTAGCCAGTCTGATTAGCTTCTTAAACTCAGAGAACAAAACAGATTTCTTAAATCAGCATTGAGATAGTAGCAACAAATGTAAATCAGTTTGTTGTGTATTCTTTTAAAAAAAATCATATTAAGCAGGAAAGATCATGACAGAAAATGAAGTGATCCACCTACATATCCCCATATAATGTCTTCCATTAGAAGAAAAAGATGGACATGCCTCATGATCTATATTGGGCTCCCAAAGTGCAATGAGCTCCAGTATCAGTAGTTAGGTACACTATGTTTCCTTTAATAGATTGTACTATAAAGTCAAACACTGCAGGACACTCCCTGATTTATTAAACTTGATCAATTAAAAAAATCTTCATTATTTGTCACTTTCATCATCATAGACTTTGCTTTAGAAATATTAATTCTTTTATTCCAAAATATCGTTAAGTTTTCCTAAAATGTTTTTCCAAACAAACCTATGGTAAAACGTTATAATGTTATCATATTTCATTCCTAGAATGGAATACATATTCTGTATTCTGTCGGTAAATATAAATAGGATTCTCGACTCAAAGGATTACTACAGATAAAGTCATTGCAATACACATTATTTGTGACATTATTTCACATACTTTAAATAAGGAATTCAATTTGGTTCTCTTTCAATGATAAATCTCACTTTCATATAATGAATCCAAAATATTTAAATAAAAGTTTATGGCAAGATAAACTTAGACACTGTACTCATATAATTAGTTAAAAGTTTGCATTGAAACATTACTTAAATAGCATGTATGAGACTATATAAAGATATATTTAATATTTTATTACCTTATTTAGTTCTTATATGATCAAATTCTTCATCTGTTTTTTCCATTTATTTTTCATAACACTATAATAGAATTAAGAAATACAGCATGAAATAGTTCTCTATTAAGAAACCCTTAAAAATTATATCACAGGATCATATCATTCTCCCCTGATGCATCTCCTGAACTCTTTGGCAGGATATACTTAACTATTTTTTGTTCAATAATTAAAAGAAAAGTAATAATATACTTTTACCTTAAAATAGTAATGGGGAAAATATTTTTAAATGGACAAAACAGAACAATATGCTAGTTAGCAATGAGACTAATGCTGCAAATCTATGCTTGATGAACCTGTTAAATATTGTAGCCTAAACTATGATAACTTTTACTATAATAATTATCATTTTATAAAAGCAGTAACTTCCTGTTTATGAAATATTTATTTTTTCCACTAAAACAATTGGTACCAAATTTGGGTGTAAGTCCATCCCATCAAAAGGGAAAATGATTTTTTTCTACTGCTATTCCTATTGTTTTTGCGAATGGTCATTTAATGAGCAGTTGCTAAACAAGAATATTTTTTTTGTTCCCTTTTGTTTTTGTTTTTTTTAAATCCTGGTGACTGCAGCTTTCTTGGAAAGCTTTCAGAAGTGGTTTGCTATTGCCTGTTTCCTAGGGCTGAGAAAGAATAAACTGGCCCAAATCACCCAAGTGGCTTCATGGGTCAGGCAGCACTAGAACTCTCAGTCTCCCAATTTACTTAATAATTTAGCTAAAATACTAGTAAAGGGTTTATGGTTGTGAAATGTGAATAATGTTTCACTTGGCAGTAACTGTGAGCACTTTTCAATCAACAGACAAAAATAGTTCGCAATAACAGAATAAATTCCATACATGAGAGCACACAGTGAACTATTAGAAATATTAACTGTTTATGGAGTGATCTGTACGCCTGTAAAAGTACAGATCTGTACGCCTGTAAAAAGTAATAACTATTACTTTTTATCAATAATGTTTAATTTAAAATATATATAAGCCTTCTTAGAAGTTCCATAAGAATCAGCATTTTGTTTTAGGCACTGACTAGAAAGCTGAGTTATTCTATCAATTTCATGGAGCTTGACCCACTCTGTTTAAGGGAAAAAAATTGAAATCCTTAGCAGCCATCCCCATATAATTAATGTCATACTGATAATCAAAGTTAAACTGAATAGGAAATTGACAAGGAATATCTGCATTATTTCATCACTTTATTAAGATTAAATGTGGCCCAGAATTAATCATAATATTCTTGGGTTTTTATTTTTGCATTTTCAGCAGTATTCTAACATGAATTAAAAAGTCCTTAAAATCAATGCAACTAGTTAAGCAATCAAAATTAAAAAGAAAAAGAAAAGCATTGACTTAAAAGTGCTATATATCTGTTTGGGAAAAAAGTCAACACATAATACATTCATCTTACTGGACTATGTCTGAAGTACCCTAAGCATGCCTTCATTATTTTTGTGAACAACTGCAGGAACTTCATTGCCAAAATTAGGATAGATATCTCCCTGGGTACTGATCCAGGCTTAAAACCATAAGGTCTGTTGTATTTTTGCTATTTCTCTGAGAATTCTAGTCACACACAACAACACCCAAGAAATTCTTGTGATTACTCTCTGTGAAGAACTAGAAGCAAGGCAAACCAGCCCCCGTATAAAAATAACAACATAATCATTGTGCTGATTTCATAAATGTGGATTGCAAAACTTGCCAAGGGAAAGGGGCAAAAAGTCAGAATGCCAGCTGAATACACAGTGCTTATAATGAACTCATGCTCAGGGAGTGCTGTTGCTGGGTTTGCGCTTATCAAAGGCCTGTTCAGCAAAAGTCAAGATGCTTGTATTTTTCAGCAATCAGAATTGGGGGTATAAGCTTTCCTTCCAGCAAAACACAAATAATACATGCAAATATAGACACCTTCATCTTCTTTGGAATGGGAAACCCTTGGTGGAGGGATGTTTGTTTGTTTGTTTGTTTGTTTGTTTGTTTTATTTGTCAAGAGCATATTTGGTAATAAGTATAAGCATGGATTGGATATATAAAATCGGTACAAATAGAAGAAACATTAGGGCAGGGATGGTAGGCACACTGTTGCTTTTATGCACACCCCTTACAGACCTCTTAGGAATGGGGTGAGGTCAACAGTAGAGGTGAGGTCAACAATCACTTGCAGAATTTATTTGAAATAGGATACAAAGATTCACTATTTTCTGACACATTCAAGAAAAAAAGCAATAGGCGAAAAACTCAGGAAGGTTGTTTTTTTTTTAAAAAAAAATCTCTGTTGTATAATTGCAAAATATCATCGGTAAAAGTTGCATCCTTTTATCCAAATATTGAGTGCATTCTCAAAAATCATTCTGTGAAGGCAGCTATTGTCTACTTTATATCTAAAGTTCAGTCCACTCTTCATACCGGTAGCTAAAAAAATGCATCACCACTGAGATTTAGGAGTCATGGTAACCTGTACCTGGCTAGCTGCCCACCTTTTCTGCCCATTAGCCAGAGGCAGAATTATGCTGTATAAATGTAACAATGTCTGGGGAGTGGAGCGTCCTGAAGTGAATCTGATCTTTGCTCATTCTTTCATTTGCTCCTTGGCAGATATAGGTGGGCTGGCTGGGACAGGGGAAAGAGAGGAAAAGAAATAGGGCAGCTTCTAAATACAGCAGTTAAAATATTCGTACACTTGCATACTTTAGAGCTTGCCTCTACTGAGTTACATTCTTAAAGAATTGAAATAGTTTTTATTGCACATATTTAATGTTTAAAACAGTCTTATTTTTTTTAATTAGTTAAATGAGGATTGTATTTTGTTTTCTACTTTTTTTCTGTTTCAGCTAGCTTTGTCAGAGGTCTATTCATTATTGAAGCTTATAACCAAAATTTATTTTCAGCTGTGTCTTGTTTTAGTTTCATTTTTAAGTCAGTTATACTTTTACATAACTGACTTATCTTGTTCTTATTTTAAAGTTAAAATTTCTTGTTACTTTTTTTTTAAGTTAGTGGTTTAGTTTCTAAATCTACAAGTATGTGGCTAATGATTTGTTTTGTGAAGATTGATAAGGCTAAATGTATAATAAACTTTTTCACACATATTATATATTTCTTAGTGGTGTGCTGAAAAGCACACTATGGCTTTCCCAGCATAAAAGTCCTGTATCTTCAAAGTTTAACTTATTGTCATGTTTTATATATTTTAAGTTCTACTCTGCATTTTGGTAGGTATACTTAATAAAGTATATGTATGTGGTTTTTATATTAATTCTTATTTTCTTTCTTTTTGTATAGGGGAAAAATAACCACATTCTTCTAATCATAAGGAATTACTGCAGCCTTCATACATAAATTAAAGAAATTGTATAGCCACAATATAAGCAAACTACACCCATAATTTGACATTTCTCCAGTTATATCATTTACACTTGTGGTCTTACCATTGCTCATATCTTTAATAACTTCCTTTATATTATATTTTGAAACCTATCTTTAAGCCATTTTTTCAATCCCACTCTTGAACATTTTGTTCCCATAAAGATCTATAAATCATCTTTCTGACTTAAAAAGTATTTTTCAGAAACAGAAATAATTATTTCCTCATTTCATTTGCATGCCAAATTATTTAATTGTGAATAATTGTTAATTTTATTAACGCCTAGTGGTATTTTCAATTTTCTTCATCCATTTTTGAATAAGATTGTACAATATTTTGAATTATTGAAAACCCCCTTTTTTAAAAGACGTATATATTGTACATGTTCAATATATAACAATAATTTAACATGTTTAGGAATATATGGGGTTTTCATGCTCTAATAATAACAAATGTGTGTGCGCATACAGATAGATAAATAGATAGATAGATAGATAGATAGATAGATAGATAGATAGATAGATAGATAGATGATATGTTAATATATTTTGAATTTACAAAAGACAATAGCAAGTAAAGTTGGGATATAGTTGCAATTAGGAGTGAGAATTATTGCTTGCTCATTTATGAATTTTATTATATGTTTGATTTTTGTGTATGGAAAACTGTTCTTTTCTATTTTATTTTACATTATTTTATGTTTGAACAAGGATTACTCAAAACTATCTGGTAATAACTTTATTGAGTAATAAAGTTTAAAAAAACTTTATTGTTTATTTCACAGGTATATTTTGCAGTGTATATATGATAATGTACTATTTTCTGCCTTCTTACATTTTGCAGGATTCCTGTCTAAACAGTATTTCTTATCTATACTTTTTTACTACATACTTTTACCATGTTATCCTGTAATACCACCTATTTTCCTAGCACCATGTAACAATTATTTTCACTCTTATTTTCAAGCACTCTCTGCTTTAGCCTTTCTTATATTCACTTTTGGTATATTTGAATGAAAAATTAATCTGTTTTCTACTTTTTATAAAGAACATTTACTTTTTCTTGCAGTTGATCACTTATTGGAGTTAGTTCTCATAATAATAGAAGGAATATGGCTACAGAAACAATGAATATATGTACATTGTCCTACTTCTATTAAAAAGGCAAGTCTATGTACAGAAAAAGCATAAGGAAACCCACAAGACATTTTCCAGATTATACTTCTTACAGTATATATCTGTTTTTCTTTTTTTAAAAAAAATTTTAAAGTTAAGAATTAAAATGTGAACTCACAAATGAATGACCAATTGCAGAACAAAACTAAATGGAACAAAAAAGTGCATTAAAAAAGAAAAATATATACATATATTGTATATTACTTACTTGAATATTGATAAATATATTGCAATACTAGTAGTTTTCTTCCCTTGCAAAACAGGTCTACAATAATCTGCTACAACTCTATTGACTCAAACAATTTGATCTATCATTACCTCTTGTACAAAGAAACAGTTAACAGGCGAGCCCAAGAACAGAAACTAACTTTAAAGCCCTTTGTTAACAATCCACTACTTGCCGAAATCTGCAACATCGTCAATTTCAATTTCAACTTTAACCATTACAGTTATTGTCTCTGGTCCATCCAGGATCAAATATCTTTGA